TTCCAATGTAAACCAAATAAATTTCTTCCATTCATTCAAGTTATTTATAAAACACTGTACATAAGGCCCTGTGCTACACACTGGCAGGGATACAATATGAATCAGATATGAGCCCTAAGGAGCTCATAGTCTCATAAGAGATTAAACATGTAAATGATTATAATGAAAGCACAAAATTTTACTTGCCTCAAAAGAAGCGAAAGAGTAATGTGATCTGAACTATGCTTCAGAAAAATTTAGCTGTATACAGAAACATACTAGAAGTAAGACCATAGGTTAGATGCTATCAAAATAGTTCAGATGAGAAGTAATCAAGGCTTAACATGGGTGGCAGATGTAGAAATAAAACAAATACAAGAACACCTGTGTTTAGCATGTTTATTTATTTTTTGCATTTTGATGCTTTGACATCAAAGAACTTGCTGACCCTGGAGGGACTGCCCTCCAAAGGCTAATCAATTCCAACACATAGTAAGGGACTCACGGGCCAGCACCCTTTCGTATGAAACCAACCAATCCAGAGCCTAAACCCTTAACGAACTACTTTTATCCAGCTCTCTCAGAGATCTCACTTTCTGAGCCACTATCCCCTTGCCCTAATCACCCTTGCACAGGAACCAGACAACTAGAGATAGTTCCTAGACCAGAGCCTTTTGAAATTATACAAATGAGTCAATTCTAAACCTGCTTATTCTGCTTTGTCTGTACCTCCCACGGAAACCACAATAAAGGTTCTTGCCCATGTTTCCCTCCTGCTTATTCCACTTCCTGACTGGCCCTTTCCCAGGTGGCCTAGTGCAGCTTGCCATGCCTCCTGTTTCTATGGATCCATGAGTGTTTAAAAAAGCTTCTTCCCTCAAAAGAGTCATTTCCATGTCTATAAAACAAATCTCAAATAACCTTAAAACACAGCAGATATAGAACTGATAGGACTTGGTAACAGATAATAACAATGCTACTTAAATCTTACATTTCAAAGAACTTCCACCTATATTTTCTAATTCAATTCTTATAATAACTTGTAAGATACTTAATAGTCATATTTAACAAGTAGGAAAGCTTAAACTCAAAGGTCAATTTAAATGCTCAAACTCGTCCAATAACTCACAGGCTATTAATCTATTTGTACATTAACGTTGATAATAATATGTAACTCATAGAGTTAAGGTGATGATTAAATTAGTCTTTAGTTTTTAACTAAAGTTAGAAGTAAGACGTTAAATTGTAGATATGTTCATATTAGGTATCAGTGATATTTTGGTGGAGCTGTCTGGTGGCAGTTGACAATGCAAGAGTAAAGTGAATTTCAAGGAAGAGAAGGGAGACCTGGAGATTCAGATTTGAGAATTTTTGCACGGAGATGAAAATAAATGAACATAGTCCCAAAATAAAAACCTAAAGTCACAAAAAGAAGGTAATAGAGCTAAAGGAAGAAACAAGATAGTAAAAGAAATCAGAAAAGAGGCATTTAAACCAGTAATAAGTGAACCAGTAAAGTTCAGGGTTAAGGAGGGGAAGATCAATACTGTCAAATGCTGCAGAGGTAGAAAAGTTAAGAAAGCCCATTGAATGTGGTGACTTTTGAAATCTTTCAGTCACTTGTTATTGACCTTTGAATTTCTATACAGAAATAGAGACAACAGACTGCAAGGGTTAAAGAGTGAACATGGACGTTTCTGGGCCAACATGTACAGACCACAAAAGTCACTAATCTTATTTTTATCATAAGAAAAAGGCTTAGCAAACTGAAAAGCAACAGGTCTTTTTAGATCCATCAGATAATTTATAGACAAACCACTGGCCAGAAATTTGGACAAGCAGGAGAAAACAGAGAATCACAACTTACTGGGACCAGGGAATGGTAGGAAAACTAAAAGGTAATTGACTAATTGCTAGAGACTAAGTGTAAACTAATTTGAAAGATTAAAAACTCCCAAGGGCCCAGCCTCACAGAGGCCTACCATGACACCCATCAGGCTCTCAGGAAGATCAGAGAAAAAACACCCTCATAATTCCAGCAGAGAGATAGGACATGACCATTGTAAAATATACCCAGAATGTTCAGTTTTTCTTAACAAAGGTCTACCCTCAAGGAAAACTATTTTGGCAGAGCCTAACCAACATGGGGGTAGAGAAATACACAATTCTAAGTCCCTCTAGACTCCTTGTTTCACCTGAGGAAAAAAATCTGAGAAATACTTATGAAGGTCACAGCCCAGGGTCAGAGGCCCACTGAAAGACTAATTACAGGATTATGGAACATTTCTTCTTCTCTCAATATACCACCACCACACCAACAGGTCTCCTGTACAATAACGGGATTGAAATGGGAAGAACTACAAGGCTCAGACTCCATGAAGAAGTCTCTAGGGGAACCTAAAAAGAGAGACAAAAACAAGGACACTAAAGGAAATTAAAGCCTCATAAGCCTACTGCTACAGCAAACACAGACTAATTCCTCACCAGATAAACATAAAACCTCACACTAAAGGTTTACTTAACCAGTTCATATTACCTTATGCAACATGTTCAGCTTTCAACAAAAAATTACAAAGCATATCAAAGGGCAAAAACAGTCTGAAGAAACAAAGCAAGCATTAGTGCAGACTAAGATATGGCAGAAATTTTGAAATCGTCAAGATTGGGAATTAAATCAATTATGATTAATATGGTAAGGACTCTAATGGGAAAAACTGGATAGATAACATGAAAACTCTAAGAAAGAATCAAAAGGAAATGAATGAACATGTAAGTAAGTAGAATAGAGGAACTGGACAGAGAAGTGGGATAAAAGCATTGAAGAAAGAGTGGTTGTTTTTACCACAACGGAAGAGTGTTAAGCTAATGGGAAAGACCTAATACAGGTAAAATTGGAAAAAGTGGAAAATTGATAAATACATGTTTTATGAGATCCTTTCTGGAAATAGCATTAAGTCTTAAAAGGAGGAAGATGAGAAATAACATATTAGGTCAAATCAATGGTTGTAAACGTTGAAGTCTGTGAAGTTTTGCATTAACTGGATAACATGGCTATCTCAAAACATGAAGGTTATACCACTTCCCATCTCCCACCTGATTCTTTCCTTAATGGGTAATCTCTTATGAATTTGTCATTGAATTTGTCATTATTTAAGAAACTCCCAAGAGAATTCATGAATGCAACTTAATTTTACTTTGAGATTTCTATACCTGCAAATAAAAACAAAAACCAAACAGATGCCCAGTAACCAATAATACTGAACTACATTATTCATTCATAGGTCAGCAAATATTGAGTGCCTTCTTCATTCAAGTCAATAGCAGTGTACAAAACAAAAATGTCTGCCTCATGGAGTATCATAGTTTGGGTGAAGACACAGTGATGAATAAGTACATTATATACCAGGTAGGGATAAGTTTTATGGGTAAGTTTAAACAAAGGTTGGGCAACTGGGAATGCTAGGAATTAAAAGTATTATTATTATTTTATGGGGGGTGGTTAGAGAAGGACTTTTTGATAAGATGACATCTGAAGGAAATAAATGAGTCATGACACTATCTGGGGGTGCAGTGTTCCAAAGAACAGCAATTGTATAGGCCTTAAAATGGGAAAAATAATGTGCCTGATATTGTTGTAGAACAATCAACCAAAGGGAAAGGTCCAAGGTGAGACCCTGTGAGACTGTAGTGATGTGAACTTCTACTCTGAGTGAAATGGTAAAAAACTGAAGGGTTTTGAGAAAAGCACAGTGACTACCACCTGTAGGCTGTTAGTAAGACCATTTTTTTCCAGAAAGAAATGATAGAATCTGCTGACAGAGTGGGGCATTAGAGAAGTCAGGGGAAATGGCAAGGTTTTTTTACTGAGTAACTGGAAGAGCAGAAATTGTCATTTACTGAAATGGCAAAGACTGCAGAGCAGATAAATATGAATTTTGAGATGCTTATTAACTTCTAAGTGCAGATGTTGATTTCTTTTTTAAGTGAAGATGTTGATTTTTTTAAAGTCTGGTTTTTGGAAGAGGTGCTGGCTAGAGATATAAACTTGTGAATCATCAGTGTTTAGGTGATTTTTAAAGGCATAAGACAAGAGTGAAGGAAAGGGGTTTAAAGACTGACCTCAGCAACACTCCAATATTTAGATAAGGGAAAGAAAAGATACCAGCAAAGTACTGTGAAAAGAAGGAGCCACAGAACAAGGAGACAACTAGGGAGGAGGTGTCCCGAAAACCAAATGAAGTGATTCAAAACTCGAGAGGTTGAAGGGTTAAGAAGAAACTGAGAAATAGCCATTGCATTTCGATGGATGCCTATTGCTGACCTTCACAAAAACCATTTTGGTGGAGTGGTAGGATGGAAAAAAGACACTGAAAACCATATTCAAGAAAGAATGTAAGTTTCTCTCCCAAGAATTTTCAACAATTTCTGTTAAAGAAAGATTAGCTCGGAGGGAGACTGGAGGAGAGATGTTGAAGGTCTGTCTTATCGAGAACAAAAGGTCTCTGGAAGTGTGGGAGAGTGGATGAATAAGAAAACTTTAGTGCAACTGCTGGGCAGCACTAAGGGACCATGTGAAGTTATGAGCAAACAAGTACACTGAGCTGCGCGCTCTTCTCCAGCCTCTGGTTCAAGTGTTGCAGAAACGGCAGAATGTCGCAAGCAGAAATGGGTTTTAAGGCATGATGGCATGAGGAGGCAGAAAAAACTTCGACTACAGAGCATAGTCAAGTTCAATCTTGTGGCTCACTGAACCTGAAAATTCAAAGGGGGCAACCGGCATTTCGCGGCTAACAACAGGAGTGTAAAGGAGGAAGAGCGGCTCTAAACAAAGCAGTTTGCTCCCGGAGAGCAAACACAGCAGTTGAGGGTTCAGACAGTCTGTACTAGGTCAAGTTAGGGGACATTGCCGGGGCATGAGCGCTTCGAAGACTGGCTGAACCCAGACGCAGAAAGAGACAGGATCTAAAAGGGCTCCCTCCGGGACCCAGGAGGATGGACTAAGGTTTTAGCGCCGAACTTACAACCAGAGGTTCTGCTGCTTGCGGCTGTTTACTGGAGAGACGGGCATGGTGGCGACAGGCTGTGGAGTGGTCGGCCACCCCCTTCCCTAGCTGCTTCTGGAGTCCCGGTACCCCAGCCCCCGGCGTTAGCGGTTCCGGCTGAGGCTCGGGAATGTTTGCCGGGCGTCATGGAGACAGAGGAGCCCCGGCTCAACAAGCGGCCGCGCGGTTGGCTGGCGGCTGGAGACCGAGGAGGAGGGCGGAGGCGGAGGGGAGGGCAGAGGGTTGGTGGAGCAAGAGGAAGCTCGGGACGACGACTAGAAAAAGGAGGCGGGCGGCCCGGGCCCCAGGCCCCTCCCAGGTTCTGAGTCTCCCCGGCTGCAGGCGGATGGATGGGGCTTCTTCAGGCGGTGGCGGCAGCAGTGGAGGTGGCGGCGGCAGCAGCGGCAGCGGCTGTAAGTGCAGCCTCCATAAACCATCCCTCCTCTCCTAGTCCTGATTGGGATGAGGGGCTCCTAAAGTGTCCCGGGTCCCCTTTCTCTCCTTCCCCTCCCCCATGGCAGAGTACCGCCCGGAAGACCCTTAACTTCCGGGGAGGGGCTGCAAGAGAACTAGCCCGGCTGGCTTCCCCTCCCGGAGAGCGCCGGCCCCCCGAGGCGCATGCGCAGCCGCCCTCCACGGCGCCCCCCTCGTCCCAGCTCGGTCTTTTGCTTTGGCGGTGGCGGTGGCGGTGGCGGCGGCGCGGATCTTCCCCGGCGTACGCGGCGCGCCGGGAATCCGCTGCGGTGTGAGTTCGTCTCGCCCAGTTCGCTCCCGCCCCTTTCTCCTTTGGGTCCCCGAATCCGGTCGGGGTGGGGCTAAACTGACCATCCCCCTGTGGCTCCGCCTCTTTTCCACTTTAGATCCAGGTTCGGTCCTAGCCTTTGGGGAGGTTCCTGCTCGCCCCGCAGTCCAGGTGGTGAGCGGGGTCCTGGGCGAGCCGGCCCCTTTCGGAGGGACTGAGGGAGGGAAGAGAGACTGGGAGAGGGCATTAATATGAAGGAACGAGGTCCTTCCTGTCTGTGGATAGATCCCTGGGGGCAGATGCCTCTCCACACAACCTTCCCCCTCCCCCGAATGGCCTTGTTTTTGCAGCTTTTCGTGGAAAGATCTCTGGCTTGGATCCCATCTCTGGTCGCCGTTTGCTGTGTGACCTTGGGCGAGTCACTACCCTTGTCCACGCCCCTGTTATCCCCAAAGCTTCCTCCAACGCTAAAACTCTTAATTTTGCAGAAAAGCTTATGCAGTTAGAAGACTGGCCGTCTACTGAGGCCGTTTAGCCCAGATGACGTGGAGTTGACTGAACCTTCTTTCTTCAATCATGGACGGAAGGAGGCGACCTATTTATTGGGTCGTTTTTATTCCTTTACCATCGGCTACAAATTGCATGCCTCAAGACTTATTAATGTTTTCCTAAAATTGTCATGGGATCCTTGTCCTAATTCCTGGCCATCTTTTTTAAAAACTAGAGACAGGCTGAGAATTAGAGACATGGTGAGCTTGTGGTATCATCATCTCTGGTCTCGTTACTACTGAGGCTCTCTTTCCTTTGATCCAGATGGTGTGGTGGCTCGATTCTCCCAGTGCCTGGCTGAGTTTCGGACGTGGTTAAGAACCAACTGGTTGAGGTTCAGTGCAGACAAGACGGATGTGATGCTGGTAGGCAGGGGCACACTTGGAGATTAAGGGAGGGAAAATCCAAACTCCCTCAAGTAATACAAATATTACATTACTCTTGCTGTATATTCCAGTGTTTGAGAACTGATGATGGGCCAATAATGTCCAGAGTTTGGGTGAGATAAAAATAACATGTAAACAATCTTAGGACTTTAAAAATAACAGTTTGTTATAATCTGATAAAATGGGGCCAATGGATAAAACTCTTTATGTAAAAATTATGAAAAAAACCCGAACTGTTTTTTGAAGTACCGAAAGGCTATGTAAGTGTTTTGGGGTGGCATTAATAATAAAAACCAACTAACAAAAAGATGATGCTGATTCTTGCATAGATGTGGGGCTTCTGAATGTAATGCATTACTGCTTTGTAACCTGCATTCTGCCTACTAAAGTAAAGGTAAACTCAATTTATCAGAAACGTCCTTTTTAGGTATTTTGATATTTAGGTATTTTCAACCAAATTAGTAGATAGATATTTGTCAGTTTTTACTTACATACCATGTTTAGGTTGACACTTTCAAATAAAAATTTTAGTAAATAGTTTACCAAATAGTCAAAAGGGACTCATGAACTCTGAAAATGGTTAGATAGAGAATTTGTTTTTAGGGTTTTAAATGCATTAATCTGTTTCATTCAAACAGCTCTAGAGTTTAAATTGTTAGAAATATTTTCTTGGAGCATTCTGAGAGGTTCCTGAGTTGCATAACATTTTGTTTATGTAGTATAGGTATATAGTACTTATATTTGAGTCAGGTATTGGTACTGAATAAAAGGTTCTATTTCTTAGGTATATGTAAATTATGAGACTTTTTTATTTATTGGTTAATTTAAGTACTGGTTGAAGTAAAATTGTGACCTTAAAATGCTTTTGTTAAAAGCAAAATAGTAACTGAAGGGTGTGTGTTTGTGTGTGTGTGTGTGTGTGTGTGTGTGTGTGTGTATTATACCCTCTGTAAAAATGTTTAATAACTTTAATGGAGTATTTAGTAAATTGCTTAAAAATAATTTCCCAATACAATAGCAGTTTTGAGAAGCTTAAATGTGGTGAAAGTTAATGTTAGCTTGCCTGAAAATAAGGAAGCATTTAGGTGGGGAATGGGAGCTCAAGAGGCATTTATTCAGGCTTTGTATAGTAATTTTTTTTTTGTTTTGGGACATTAGCCACAAACCTCACATAGGATTGGAATTAACCACACTTTAAGTTTAACTTTAAATACACAGTTCTAACAGAATACCATTTGGGAGATCACATAATAATCTAATTATTTTAAATAGCTGGTAGGTATTGGTGAATTTTCTCATACCTTTAACTCTGTCATGTCTTGTTTTTAAGTCTTCTAGTATCAGTAGGCATTAAAGATTTATATTTTGTTAAACCAAGTATAAATAATGATTGTTTGCACTTAAATACAAAGAAGAAATCTGTTGAATTAATCCAAAATGCTGAAAAACTCAGGGAAATGGAAGGAGGTAACAAGGAGATAGATTCTGGTTTAATAAAAAGGAGAATGTTCTGAACATAACAGTTTTTTTTTTTCTGAAAGAGCAGCCTCTTCATCAGACAGTAAGTCATTGGAGTGTTTTAGCATTGGCAGAAAACCCTGGTAGTGGGGACATGTGAGGGATTCCTACTTAGACCAGGTAGCAATTGACTAAAAGACCTCTAAGGTCCCATCTAACACTAAGATTCTGTGGCTAATGGATAGTTAATTTTTACATATTTGATACTGAGGAGATAAGCAAGAGATTTTGAGAAAGGCTGCTTTCCTTAAGGTGGCTTCTAAAATTTTGAAAGACAGTATATCATGAGAATAAAATGGGAATAAAACCATACTGAATTCATTAGTAATGTGTTACTAATACTTAAAATATTGGAGCTATTTCTCTTTATTTTTAGAGTATCTGAACTTAAAAAACACTGAACTCACATTTATTAACAAAGGGAAGAAAAAAATGTAGAGGGAATATTTCCCCCAAATGATAATTCCACTTAAAATTAGTAAAATGATACATAATTCTAATAAACTTAAAAGCCATTTATCAGCAAGAGGGATACACGGTCAAATAGGTCCCAGATTTGATTTTCCTGACAATTTCAGAATTCATTCAGTAGCTTAAGGGACCATGGTCCTCGGCTTTTTAATCAGAATTGGGATTTTTTGTTGAGGTTTAACTGAAGAATCAAAGAGTAAATGGGTTTAAGCAAGCGAGTTAGTCCTGTACCTTGCGTTTTGGCAACACTTTAAAATTTTCTTTTTGTGAACTAGCTAAATTTCATATATTAGCTTTGGTAGTTAAATGGGCAATCCTCCTTTATCCCCATGGTATTATAAAGCCTGAGTTTCTACCTCTAGGCCCCTTATTCTGTCTTTACCCACCCCAGATCTATACACATTAATTGTTCTTTGCCTTCAGCTGTTTTCCATCAAGCACCTCAAAGGCAAAACTATATAAACACAAACTGACTTTTCAGAAAATGATTTTTATTTTGAGTCTGAAGGACTAAGGTAATTCAGTAGGGTAACTCAGTGTCCCTATGCTAAAATACTTATTCCCCCAAGGAATCCTGAAAAACACTTTTATACTATAAGTATTCTAAAAAAATAAAATGAAAATACTGTACAGTACAGTTAATGGTAAAAATTGTTTGTAGATTTGGGAACCTTAAAGTTTTCCTTTCTCTTCTTTCCCTTGCTTTTCTTTCAGTAGAAAATGTGCATCAGATGTTTATGTTTAATTGGTTTACAGACTGTCTGTGGACTCTTTTCCTGTCAAATTACCAGGTAATGTCCTTTCACTTAGCAGCTACTTCATATGCCTGTAAATGCACAAATTATTCATGCACAAATTATTGGACATAAGAATTTCAAGTTAATTTTGAATCTTTGGAAAAAGAAACTTTAATAAGAGTCTTGAATTTTAAGGGAATACAAATAATTTAAAAAAACAGCCCATACTGCATTATAAGTTAAGTATTAAAGAAAAATTGTATATGTGCACATTTATGCAGTATATTGTATATTGTGGCATCACATTATTTGGAAGGAATGACTTTTTATATTTGGTTGATTTGGTTAATCATTTTTTAAATTGCATTAAGAACCCTGAACATTTGGGGGAAAACGGTCTTTTTGAAATTAAGATCTTTAAACTCCTGGTTTAGTAAAATATGTTAGTGCATGTTTTAATACCACCTTTGCATTAGCCAGTATCTGCCTTAGTAATGGAAGGGAAACATGTTTGTTATTTGTAGCCATTGGCCGTGCATTCATTAGAATTGGCATCAAGGCCAATTGGCAGTTCTAGGCCAATATTTTAAAATAAACTTTCAAATTACTGCCATTTCAGGCATTGCACATAAGCAGCTTTTCCCTCTATGCAGTCAATTCAGAGATCCATCAAAGAGCAGCTTTTTCGTACTCGCATTTTGAAATTTTCTCTAGTTGTGCAAAATTCAAACGTTGCACAATTATGTTGCTCCTGGCATCCCAGGAAGTGTGTGTGGGGGAAAAGCAAATGAGATGTGAGGATGGCAGAGTACCTATCCACAGTCCCTTTTCTTAATCTCTGCTCTGACCTCTAAGATTTGGGAATGTGTGATTTTACATTTCCTGTCGGGAATCAACCAAGAGAGATACTTGTCAAGAGACAGCCGCTTTTAAAGCGCGCTACTTTGCGTTGTTGCCGTTGTTGCATCACAGCAACATCCGTTTTCCAGCAAATGCACTTCAAAAAGGCCTACATGTAAAATATAACGTATCTTTTCCCCTGCGATGTGAGCGCTGGACGCAGCTTTTTTGGCACTTTTCCTTGACCTCTCTGGTCCCCTCAGGGCCGTCTCCAGCTAGAGTCGCGGATCCGCTAACGCAGGGGAGGCGCCGGGTGCTGAGATGCCCACCTCCCCCCACCCACGACACCCACCTTGACTCCGCCCCCTCCGCGCTCCTCCCGGGGAAGGCTGCCGCGGGGCCGCGCGCGCGCGACCGCCTTTTCCCTCCAGTCCAGCTCTGCCGGGGCGCCGCGAGGGGGCGGAGTGGGGTGTGGTGGGCGCGCTCGGGCGGCTCCTGCGCGTTCCCGCCGAGACAGCGGCGGCGGGAGCAGCAGAGACGGCGGCGGTGGCTGGAGTCCCGTTGCCGAGTCTCACATCCGGGTTCTGGCCGTGACCCAGCTGCGGCCGCCGCGGAGATGTGACCCGTCAGTACGGCAAATATGGCGGAGGTAAGGGAGCGAGCTCCCCCTCCCCGTCCCGGAGCCGGGCGCCCCTGGGCCCTGGCCGGGGAGGAGTGGAGTGGGCCTGGCTAGGAGAGGCCCAGCCCTGCTGGCGCCACTGCCCACCTGTTGTCCGGAACAGGCCGCGCTCTGGGCGGGAGCTTTCCCTGGAACTTAGTTGAGATGGGTCCGGGGGTAAGAGGAAGCGGAGGCGTAGTTGGACTTCGGGGGCAGTTTGAAGGGTCGAGTGCTGCGTAGTAGTGCGTGCGGAGAGGGGTGAAGGGGTGTGGGCGCCCGCGGGGCAGGGGCGTCGGTGGCGCAACTTCGCCGGCCGGTGCTAGGGGCCAAGAGAGGAGCTGCTGCTTCCTCTTCTTGCGAAGTTTCTTCCTCCCTCGCCGAGATGCTGTTGCGCCCTTCCGCGTCACCCCCACCCGTTTGCTCCTGACATCCAGTCTGTTAAATGGGGAAAACGTAAGGCAGAACGGCCTTTAACTCTCGTTTTCCCAATGGTGCTAAGATTTGCGTGGAGAAATAAACCTGGCCTTTCGCAGGCCGGTCGTTTAGGTTGGGGGAGTCTCCCTATATCTCCGAACAGTTCATTCCTCCTCAGGGTAGAACATTCTTTCTCTCTTCACATTTCAGAAGAGTTACTTTCTACCTTTCCCTCTCTTCACTTTCCAGGCATTTCCCGCCCCCCCCTTTCATATTAAGACTATCTATTACTGTTTTTCTCTTCTAATTTTTTTCCCCTTGTAGATTTCTTTTTCTCTTTTTCCAGTAAACGAGTCACCAAAGCCCCCTTTTCTCGGTGGTAATTGTTTTACGTCTTTGGGCTTCAAATCGTGGCGAACAACCACTCTTAATGATTGTTTCGAACTTAGTGTTGTGCCACTGGAGATTTAAATTTTTTTTCTGATTTAAACCTTTACACATTTGATTTTTTCTAATACTTTTTCCCCCCTTACCCTCAGAAGAATTCCGTTATTCTTTACCCCCTGGAGTTCAAGAAGTGATAGTATTTGGGGTTATTAGTCTTCTTTGAGTCAGAGCCTCACTAAATGATTGTTAAGGCATTTCCTTGTATGAATTACCATTTTCATGGTCTCGGAGACACCCCAAAACAGATTCAGGAGTAGGGTTTTGTTTTTGTTTTTGTTTTTTAACCATCCAGCCCTCAATTTTTGTGTTCCTTACTTGCTAAATGAAGTCAGTGATGAGTTAGTTGGTAATAGTATATTATCTCCTCCTTAAGCCTTGGGATACGGAAACTGTGTAGATTATGGAAAAATATTAATTTTTGACGCTTCTTATGTACCTGTTGAGTAGAGGGACCTTAAAATTAGCTGTTTTGTGCAGATGCTTTTAGGGGTGCTCCTTCTGCTTTCCCTATGGAAACTGACTTTATATTAATGTAGTGGAGTATTTGCTATTAAAGGAGCAAATTTCACTATAGCAGGACTCTTTGCTGCCAGTAATCTTTTTAAAACATTTAATACTTTTGATTTAAAACTAAATTTAGATCTTAGGTTTATTTCCATTTCTTTTGTTCTTTGTGGTTAAAGAATTTTATTTCAAGGCATATAGATTGGAGAAAACAGAGTACTTTGTATTTCACTTAAATGTGAATGGATTCATTCGACTGGGCTGAAACAATTTTAGTCCTGGTAAGATTTTAAGTGTTTCTTTTTTTCACATGTAAGAGAGGGAAGGGGTCATATGTGGCTGAATTTATCTACATTTTGTCAAATAGTTTTCAGTGGATTCCCTTTTCAGTGAATGCCTATTAAATAAGCAACAGTGTGATAGGTGATAAGGTTTCTTCCCTGGTGGTGCTGCTCACAATGGTTTGAGCTTTATGTTCTGTAGTCATATTTTAAGGCAACCTATTAGAGAAGGAAAATAACTTAGTTTGCAAATACAGTAAGATTTAGGTTTAAGAAACTTCACCCATAAATTTAACTGTTCGCACACTGAACACTTAATATGTAAGTAGTAGTATATTAATATTGTTTCTTGTTTTAGAAGTTAAAGATGATTGCATTAATATAAGAGAGGAAAAGCAATATTTTTAGTCAGTAATCATTTACTAATATTTTCAAGGGTATGTTTTAGTTTTCTTAAAAATTGCATTACTTGGAGAATGGAACGCTCATGTTCATTCGGAACGCATGGATAGTTCAATTTCGAGAGGAAAAGACCTTAAAAAAAAAAAAAAAGAGAAAACCTGAGCTTTGTTTTCAGTGCATTTATTTAGGAACCTAAAATCTTAAAGAAAAAAAATTGTCCTTTATAACTCCAGTGGTTTTATTTTTAGTGAATTTGGAGGAAGAACGGGGGATCCTTCTTCATCTGTGTCCCACAAAAAAATCTAAAGCAAGTGAAAAAGTGAAAAGTAAAATTAATTTTATTTTTCTGATCTCAATATTTTAGTAATTAGGATGATTTTAGAGACTAGTCATTTTAAAAAATTAGGTGGGGAAATGCTTGGTGTATAGAGTTCTATTGTGGGAGCTCTCAGGAGATTTGTTTTTTATGATGCCAATATAAAGTATGTGGTAAAATAAATCAAATGTGCTCTTGTACTTTTGTTTAAGTAGACTTGAACATTGAAGCTAACTGGTGAAATAACAGAAAATGCAAAGCAACAATATACATTTATTTGATAAATCTGAGGGGAAAACAGGTTATTGAGGAAATAATGTCTCTGGAGAAAAATGTAGATATTATGTTTCTGGGTTTTTTTAATTGTCGTTATTTTTTACATAGGAGAATGACCCTGACCTTGTTTTTCCTGAGAAATGTTTAATTCCTGAATATAAATTAATTTAGATGTAAATAGAATATACAACTTTTTCATATTTGATCTGATCATCTTAGGCAGTAGGAAGTATGTATTTAATGGTTCCTCAAATTGTGATAACATTTAAAACATATTTAATGTGCCTAAAAGAAATGGTACGTACTCCCCTTCTTAATAGTTTTTGGTACTATTTCTCATTACTTATTATCCCTTTGAATTGTTTATCAACCTTCTAAAAGGAGGTTCTCCTAGTCACACTTAAAGGAAGGAAATTACAGGGTAGTTGCAGTTTTACAGCGGCAATAAGAAAGAAAGCTTAAGAGGAAGAAATCGTTGATCCTTTGGGTTTTGTAAGGAATGTGGTGTAGGGACCTTTGGGAATGAACAATTTGTCTGTTATTTCAAAATTTGTAAACACAGAAGGGACTTTTCTTTTCCAGGAAAAAAAAAAAGCCACAGCATAGTGCAAGACCTATCTTTTCACCTCTGCTGTATTGTTACATAAAGAGAAGAAAATTTAATGAACTTGCTTTTCTGTATTTTAAGTATTTAAAAATTTTCAGAAATGATATACATAATCTGTTTATTCACTATTGCATCTATTTGTTTATTTCTCTTGAAAACAGACTGCTTAGTGGTTTTTAGTGTATTTGAATTTAATTTTTTAAGGAAATAGGATCATCTTGACTGCTCTTCTTGATAGCGTTAATTTCAGTTGTAAGAAAAACTTGTTTCTCTGCAGTGAATTTAGGCCTTAAATAATTCTCTGTAGTG